TGCTAGAAACAAATTTTGAAATAGAGTTTCAGCATTCATCAGTTTTATTACAGAGAATATTCACTTAAAAAAAGGAATGAAAAATATACCCTGAAGTCTTAAGTTAGGTTTATTTGTGTGTGAGTGTGTGTGTTTGGTGTTTTTAATTTTTTTTTTTCTTTTTTTTTTGAGACAGAGTCTACGTAGCCCTAGCTGACTTGGAACTCACAATGTAGGCCTCACTGGCCTGAAACTCAGAGATCTGCCTGCCTCTGCCTTCCCAGTGCTGGGATCAAAGATGTGTAACATTATGCCCAATCTAATTTACATTTTTAAAACTGAAAGAAAAAGGAACTAAATATTCCATGGAGCTGAGCAGTGCAGTCAGAACAAAAGTTCTGGTTTGTAGAATGTAGAATTCCTTTGTAGTTGTAGGTGTGGTTATCCTCAGCCTCTTGTTCCTTCTGGTGAGCTACTCTTCTCTTTCTGTTGAGTTACATTCCTAGCACACATTGGAGAGGAATAAAGTAAATGAGGAAGAATAAAATCTGTGATAGAATATGTTAGTGCTGAGCTGCTCTTGAAAGAATGAGAAAACTGATTTCAAGTTTATGTAACTATATGAACTCGGTGACAAATTTTTGTACCTTAGTTGTTAAAGAATATTTCCCTAGCTGGGCGTGGTGGCACATGCCTTTAATCCCAGCACTTGGGAGGCAGAGGCAGAGGCAGGAGGATCGTGAGTTTTTCAAGGTCAGCCTAGTCTACATAGTGAGTTCAGGTTAGCTGGGACTGCAGGGAGACCCTGTCTCAAAAAGACAAAAAAGAAAAAAAATATATATATTTCCCTGAAAAGTAGATCATTATTGTTGTGGAATATAGTGCAAGTTTTAAATATAATTAAAAAAATATTTTGCCTCATATCACCAGTTAACATACTTTATGGTGCTGTTTCCCACCTTCTGTGAGGAATTTTAGTACTACAAAATGTAAAAATTCTTCTTAAAATGACTTCCAAAGAACACAGTATGGTAGTGCATGCCTGTATGCCAAAATCTCAGCACTCAAGAGGCTGAAGGAGGATCCTGAGTTCTAGGGAGCTTGAGGTACAGAGTGAGATGCTATCTAAAAAAATGGTTTCCATTATCAGATAAATTTTCTTAAGGAGCTTTACTGTACTGTAAAAGACAACTTGGAATTGCTGCCCATAGGAGTTGTCTTACTTGTCCTATTTGGTAACATGTACTTCACTTCATATTTGTGGCTTAGAAGGGTTTTTCTCAAGAGTAGCTTTTGTCAGGATCTCTGGCATTCTGTAGTTTCTTCAGGAGCTACATAGAAGACACCAGGGGAGAGCTTTCTGTATCCCACCTGTGTGACAACTGTCTGCTTTTGTGTTTGTCCTGTATATTTTAATTCTTTACCAGATTTCACTTGTAAAAGTGTTTGAAAACAATTACTAAACGTCTTGTTTTGTGTGTGGTGGGAATTGAAACCAGCACTGTACATGTTTAAAACAGATACTCTACCACCAAGCTGTATCTTCCAAATCCCAGAACACCAGTATTTTTTGGTATTTTTTGTTTTGTTACTGAAACAGTATCTCACTATGTAACTCGGGCTGGCCTTGAGTTCATGATTTTCCTGCCTCAGCCTCCTGAATACTGGAATTACAGGTGTGCTTCACTATTGCCTGGACCCCTTAAGTTATTTTTTAGAGAATATGAGCAATAAATGAATTCATGTTACTTTGGGATAAAAACTTTATTGTGCCCTATAAGTGGAAAGATTTGAAATTTTAGATTTAGGGGGCTAGAGAGACTTAGCAGTTAGAATCAATGTACTGCCCTTGCAGAGGACCTGGCTTTTGTTCCCAGTACTCCACCTGCATGGTGGCTCATAACTGCCTGTAACTCCATTTCCAAGGGTTCCAGTACCCTCTTCTGGCCTCTGTGGGTTCTATTGCTCATGTGGTACACATAAACTCATGCAGGCACATACACATAAAAGTGAAAGTAATTCTTTAAACTTTAATATTTAATACTTTTTGGTGTTTTGCCAGTACTGGGGTTTGAACCCAGGGTCTTGGGTATGCTAAGCAAGTGTGCCATCATTCTGTGTTTGGAAGTCAGGAGTTTTTGAAGTACTACAGGTTCTTTTTTAAAAACATTTATTGAGCTGGGCATCATGGCGCACACCTTTAATCTCAGCACTTGGGAGGCACAGGCAGGTGGATCTCTGTGAGGTCAAGGCCAGCCTGTCTACATAATGAGTTCCAGGACAGCTGGGGCTACAGGGAAACTCTGTGTCAAAAAGATCCCATGGAAGTTGAGTCACAAATGGCTGTTAGCCACCATGTGGGTGCTGGGAACCGAATCCAGGTCTCCTATAAGAGCAGCTAGTGCTCTTAACCACTGAGCCATCTCTCCAGCCCCTGCCTCAGGTTCTTAATGGAAAGTAGTTTTTATTTTTCTTGTAGAAGTACTGTTTTTTTCCCCTCTCTCTCTGGCATGGGCATTGCTTGCAAGCAATAAGGACACTGAGTCTTGCATTTCTCTTGAGTGCCCCACCTCCCATGTTGCCATATAGGCTTAAATTTTCTTTGAGTCTGATTCTCACTATGCAGCTTGGGCTGGTCTGGAGCTTGCTATGCAGAGTGGCTGGCCTTGAACTCACAGAGATCCACCAACCCCTTCCTACAGAGTGTTTTTAGCATGAGTGCTGTGATAGTTTTTTTTTTTTTTTTCCTGAGACAAGATCTCCCTGTGGTTCCAGCTGGCCTGGATTTGCTGTGGAGACCTGCCTGGGCTTGAACTCACAGAGTTCTGCCTGCCTCTGCCTCCTAAGTTACTGGGATTAAAGGCTTTCAATTGCACACATTTATTAAGAGTTTAAAGTAGTGTTACAGTTTGTGGAGATATCAAGCTAGTTAAACTATTGTCACAAATATTTTTCCACATTTTCGATGTGTAAACACTTGAATTTTTACAATTAACCATTTGGAAATGAATAATAGATGTTAACTGTAGTTTCCGTTTGTAATGGGCTTCACCTTGGCCCTTCACCTTTGTACAGAGGTGTCATCACACTCTACTCTCAATGTGTTTTCCTCCCATGTTGTCTCCGCCCCTTCTTCCCAGCTAGTTTGTTTTTTTCTCCTTAGCAGTCCCTCCTGCTGTTCCTATGTATTCATCACCATCTGTTTCCCACCTCCCTTACTTAATCTTTTCCTTTTTTTTTCATTCATTCATTTATTTATTTTTGGTCTTTTTGAGACAGGGTCTCCCTGTAGCTTCAGCTGCCTGGAACTCGCTCTGTAGACCAGGCTGGCCTCGAACTCACAGAGGATCCACCTGCTTCTGCCTCCTGAGTACTGGGATTAGAGGCATGCGCCACCACGCCTGGCTTTTATTTTTATTTTATTTGTATGAATGTATTACATGCATTTATTGTATGTAAGCGGAATTCAGAAGAGTGCATTGGATCCCCTGGAATCAGTTGTTAGCCGTCATGTGGGTGCCAAGAGCTGAACCCAGGCACTCTGCCAGAGCACTAAGCTGTCTCTCCAGACCATTTGTGTTTTGAGACAGGATCTCACTGTGTAGGCCTGGCTGGCCGTGAACTCACAGAGATCCACCTGTCTCTGCCTCCCTAGTGCTGGGTTTAAAGACCACCCCCAGTTTTTTTTTTTTTTTCTATATTTTAATTTTGTTTGTGAGTGTATTGCCTGCATGTATGTAAGTACACCCCTGTCGTGCAGTGCATGTGGAGGCTAGAAGAGGGTGTCAGATCCCCTGGAACTGGAGTTAAATACAGTTGGTAGCTTTCATGTGAGCTCTGGGATCCAAACCTGGGTCCTCCGCAAGAACAGCTAACGCTGTTAACTGTTGACCGATTTGTCCAGCCCCCCTTGTTTTTTCGAGACAACGTCTCACATTTCCCACGTTGGCTCAAACTCGAAATGTTGCTAAAGATGGTCTTGAATTTCTGGTCCTGCCTTGTCTCCTGAATTCTGGGATAGTAAGTGTGCATTAGCACTTCCAATTTATGTGGTGCTGGAGATCTAACCCAGCACTTTGTGCATGCACTCTACCAACTGAGCTCTCTCCGCAACCCCTCAGTGTTTTTTCTTTAGGTGGTAACAAGTGACATATTAAGCAGGTCTTTGTCAGAGTTAGTATAATAGAGTTGCAGCCCTTATGTGGTTCTGAAGAATCAGAGAATCAGAATCATTTTAAAAGACAGAATATTGTATTAGGTTATAGACAGTGAGCAGATGGCAACAGTTGGGACATATTATTTATGTCACAAATAATAGTTGATTAGGGGCTTAGTGGTAGAACGATCTGGCATACCTTGCATGTGTGCCTGTACACAAACACACACACACACACACACACACACACAGCAGACATAGTAGTAAAATACTTATGTTTTTAATGATAAGTTTAAAATATTGAAAATGAGTACCAGGTAGTATCTGTGATGTTACTGTCACAAATTTTGTTATTTTTGTTATTTTTTTTTTTTTTTTTCGTGGGCTAGAGCTTGAACACCAGGGTTTCTTACATCCTAGGTAAATGCTGTGCCACTGAATTAATGTCCCCCAGCCTTTGATAAACTCTTTGGGATCGGGGAGGGGCTCCACAGAATAGTTTGAAGAATCCAACAGTGAAAACAGGCATGAACTAAGAATCTTATTCCAGGAAACTTAGTATCTACTTGTATAAATTAAGTTTAAAAACAAAAAAGTCAACCTTAATGGTATTGATCTTGTGAGACAATATGGACTAGTTACATTTTTTTCCACATTGAATAATTCTACAAATTCTTTTTTTTTTTTCCTGTCTGTCAAAAATGCCTCACAGGGGAGACCTAACAGTCTTCAACCACCTTTGGACAACCCTCAGTGCTCTACTACCTTTTTATTACAGATTTTTCTCAGAAGCCACTCCTTCCTTTAATAATCTCTAAATAACCTCCTTCCTGGGAGGGGTCAGACACCATCATAGCCACGGCTTCTCTGTGCCATGGTTCATCTCAAGCCTGTGGGGAGCAAGCTGGCCCCAGATTTCTCCAAATCTGCCTTTCTTTGCTTCCAAATTTTATGTGTCCAGGGACAGGGAACAAAAACCACATCTTTGTGGGAGGGTGATTCTTCAAATTCTAAAGTTCTGTTCTAATGCGACACAAAACCAGACCTGCCGGGCGTTGGTGGTTCACACCTTTAATCCCAGCACTGGGGAGGCAGAGGCAGGCAGATCTCTGTGAGTTCAAGGCCAGCCAGGTCTACATAGTGAGTTCCAGGACAGCTGGGGCTATAGGGAGACCCTGTCTCAAAAAGACCCCCCCCCCCCAAAAAAAAAAACCCAGATCTATGGGGCTGGAGAGTTGGCTCAGTAGTGAAGAGCACTGGCTGCCTTTGCAGAGGACCTGGGTTCAGTTCCCAGCATCCACATGGTGGCTAACAACTTATTCCAGTTCCAGGGGATCTAACGCCTTCTGGCCTCCACCGGCATTGCATGACAGGGATGCATTTACATACATGCAGGCAATACACACATAAAATAAAAATAACAAAATATTAAAAAAACAGACCTAAGAGCAAAGATTGAGAAATTTGATCAGATTTTTCTTTTACTTTAAAGAGTTGTAGTCTCTGTTTTTAAGTTAACTTTCATTGTATTTAGAGAATCAGAATCATTTCAAAATACATTTTCAAGGGACATTCTGAATATTTTTAAAATTTATTTGTAATTTTTTTAGATTTCAGAGAAATCATTAATATTTTTTATATTGGCTTGCAGAAATTTGGGGTATTCATGTCTTGAATTTTGGAAAATGCCTACACGTACAGATATTTAATAGTCAAATGAAGTTTGATTTTAATTGTAATTTTCCAAAAAATTTTAAGAGATTTATGTTTTCTAAGTTGAAAAATTTCTGATCAAGAAAACTAAAAGAATGGTGGTGTTCATAACTATAATCTCAGCACTTGGGAGGACCCCAGTGTTGCTGAGGCCAGGCTGAGTACATGGCGAAACAGAACCAGCTTTGGCTGTATTGTGAGACTTTGTTTCACCAGAACAAGAACAGGAAGTTTTAAGTGTGTAGCATAAGTATATGAGTACAAACAGTTTGACATGGTGTCCAGTTAAAGCAGCAGTAATAGGTTCCCCTTAGGGCCTGTGCTCTCCCTAGCCATGAGCTTTCTATCAGGTATACAGTGCCAGGCAGGAATTTCTCCTGTAGAGTGTGCCTCAGTCTAAGCAGAAAGCTGTTTACATCCATAATGCTCACACCATACTGCACTGGTGGACACTTCTTGCCTGGCAGATTGGTATAGCTTTATGGGGTCCACATCTGGATAAACTTTTCTCCCTCAGCAGCCTCAATGCCTTTATGACACTGTGAAAGCTAGCCAGCAGGGAGGAAGCTTCTAGTTCATTTTCAGCTTGATTTCTCTGTGTGCTACAATCAAAGCATGTGGTGTCTTCAACAGTAGGGTCTTACCTAGTTTTGGTGGGCAACGAAGACATGACAGCTGTATTTTGGGATCCTCTGGGGCCTCGTGATCAACAGCTCATAAAGAGGTACCCCATACTTGGCAGTGAAATTTTCGTTTAATAACCTGTGACTTCTGGAAGCAGCATTAAGATAAAGGGTGTATTTTGTTGAATTTCCTTTTCAAAATACGGCAGAGCAAAACAGTGTTGCATTTTGGTAGAGGCATAACATTGAGTTTTTTTTCTTCCTAGAATGTAGCATTTCTCCATTTTGTTTTTTCTTAAACTGGTGGTGAACTGGATTCTGTCATACTGCAATCTAATTCCTCTATGTGACATTGCTTAAAATACAGCTGCTTCTATGTTACAATTTTGTGCCTGCAAACTTACTAGCATTTTATAAAAATTGTATTTTTAAGTTGGGACAGAAGACTTGACACTTTAGACAAAAGTAATTACTATTGTACTAAAAATAATTCCTATTGTACTCTTATACTTCCCCCCTAAAGACTCCATGAACAATCTACAATAAGTGTTTAATATTACTCATCTATAGCTTGACAAAATGGCAGGAGGATTGTGAGTTTGAGGCCAGTCTGTGCTGTATAGTGAATTTGCGGCCAGCTATGCTGCAAGACTGTCTCAAAAGGAGGTGGGTAGAATAGGTACATCTCTTTCATTTATTTAAAATTTTAATATTTCATCTGTCTTTCTCCTCTCCTTTTAAGAGAACATTGCACTACTGATTGTGGTCTTCTGTTTTGCAGAGTAACAGCTATCCACCAATGTCAGATCCATATATGCCTAGTTACTATGCTCCATCCATTGGATTTCCATATTCTCTTGGGGAGGCAGCATGGTCCACAGCTGGAGACCAACCTATGCCATATCTGACAACTTACGGACAAATGAGTAATGGAGAACATCATTATATACCGGACGGTGTTTTTAGTCAGCCTGGGGCATTAGGAAATACCCCTCCATTTCTTGGTCAACATGGATTTAACTTTTTTCCTGGTAATGCTGATTTCTCTACATGGGGGACAAGTGGATCTCAGGGACAATCAACACAAAGTTCTGCTTATAGTAGCAGTTACGGCTATCCACCTAGTTCTCTTGGGAGAGCTATTACTGATGGACAGGCTGGATTTGGCAATGATACTTTGAGTAAGGTGCCTGGCATTAGTAGTATTGAGCAAGGCATGACTGGACTGAAAATTGGTGGTGACCTGACGGCTGCAGTGACAAAAACTGTAGGTACAGCCTTGAGCAGCAGTGGTATGACTAGCATTGCAACCAATAATGTACCCCCCGTTAGCAGTGCAGCACCTAAACCAACTTCTTGGGCTGCTATTGCCAGAAAGCCTGCCAAACCTCAACCGAAACTTAAACCGAAGGGCAATGTGGGAATTGGGGGTTCTGCCGTGCCACCACCTCCTATAAAACACAACATGAATATTGGAACTTGGGATGAAAAGGGGTCAGTGGTAAAGGCTCCACCAACCCAACCAGTTCTGCCTCCTCAAACTATAATCCAGCAGCCTCAGCCATTAATTCAACCACCGCCATTGGTGCAAAGCCAACTGCCTCAACAGCAGCCTCAGCCACCACAACCACAGCAGCAACAAGGACCTCAGCCACAGGCTCAGCCTCACCAAGTGCAGCCTCCACAGCAGCAGCTGCAGAATCGCTGGGTAGCTCCTCGGAACAGGGGAGCTGGCTTCAACCAGAACAGTGGAGCAGGCAGTGAAAACTTTGGTTTAGGCGTTGTACCTGTCAGTGCTTCACCTTCTAGTGTAGAGGTGCATCCAGTGCTGGAAAAGCTAAAGGCCATAAACAACTATAATCCCAAAGACTTTGATTGGAACCTGAAAAATGGACGTGTGTTTATAATTAAGAGCTACTCTGAGGATGACATACATCGCTCCATCAAGTACTCTATCTGGTGTAGTACTGAGCATGGTAATAAGCGTTTGGATGCAGCTTACCGTTCCCTGAATGGGAAAGGTCCACTCTATTTACTCTTCAGTGTGAATGGCAGTGGACATTTTTGTGGAGTGGCTGAAATGAAGTCTGTTGTGGACTATAATGCATATGCTGGTGTCTGGTCTCAGGATAAGTGGAAGGGCAAATTTGAAGTTAAATGGATCTTTGTTAAAGATGTTCCCAATAACCAATTACGACATATTCGCTTAGAAAATAATGACAACAAACCAGTAACCAATTCAAGGGACACTCAAGAAGTACCCCTAGAAAAAGCAAAGCAAGTGCTTAAAATTATTGCAACTTTCAAGCATACCACCTCAATCTTTGATGACTTTGCACATTATGAAAAGCGTCAAGAGGAGGAGGAAGCCATGCGAAGGGTAAGCATGAATACAGCAATTTTTGAGCGAACTTAAGAAATAACTCGGATCTCTGAATCACTTTTTTCCTTTCCAGGAGCACCCTTGCACTGAATTTGCTTCTTGCCTATTTACATTCCCCATTGAGTCTTGTGATTGGCAAAAACTAAATGAATTCTGCTAAAGAAACTTAACAGATTAGGACCTGTAATCATTAATCATCTTTCTCCTGTTCTGGAGAGCAAACCCAGAGCCTTGCAGATATTTAGCAAGCCAGCCTACCACATACTCCAGCCCTTCTAGTCACTAGTCTTAGATGTTAGTTTCATGAGAAAATTTATTTAAAATTTGAAGCAAATTGTTTTCAAATAGAAGTCTGTTGTTTATTTATGAGAAAGAGTTTTTTTTTTTTTAATATAAAGCTGTAGTATTTAATTTGTAAGGCTAAAGCACTTGTAACAAAACAGTAAGGGTTTGACATTAGAAAGGTAGATGAGATTTGGGAGGACATAGCCTTTAGGATTAGATTGTATAGTATTTGATTTTTCTCATTTTTGTTATTTCGGCTTCTGTGAGGTTTAGGGAGACTTCCCGAACTTAATATATTTGTGTCATATTGCCAGAATTTGATCACAGACAGGCTTGAGCTGTTTTCTGTTCTCAACTACGACATAAAATTGTCCTAGTTTTAGATGGGAAAAGAAGAGAGGTAGGTAGGAAGCAAATGTACACAAGTACATTTGTTTCTTTTGAAAACAGACAAGGGTGGAGCTAGAAACTTTTTCAGTACAAATAATACTCGCCACTATGGAAGGGCCTATGGGAAAATTAATATTAAAGCAGATACTTAACTGACTTGATGAAAAATGTTAGTGATTCATTTCTTTGTGTGGATTTAAATATCTTGTGGCTTCTTGGGTTCTGTGCAGCAGAGGAACTGCTTCAAACTATCAATTATCACTCAGTGAATTTTGTTGATATAGTAGTTTCCAGACTGTAAGCCTCTTAAACATTTTTTGGAGTGTTTCTTAAAAACACACCCCTTGCTGTATTTGGTAAGGACCTTAACACTAAGGTGTTTCTGAAAAGCACTCAGGATGACTGATGTCTGTGTTTGCTGTATTGAATTGTTAGAAACTTTGCTTTGGAGTGATGCAGATTGCTGTTTGCAGCTCTGTGGAACCATTTAAATGAATTGCTGCATGTAATTAAAGTTTTCTCCTAGCTAAGTGTGGGAAGTGAGGAAAATAGGATCAGAAGTTGCTAGTGAGTTTTTGAGCTTAGTGACTGAGTAAGTGGTC